AGTTGTAATCATCTTTTGTGCTACAGTCGTTACTGTTCTCTAATTCTGATCACTGTCTTCCACAAAAATTAGGTTTTTGTTGAAATGCCTTGGTTATTTTGTCAAACACTAGTACAGTGTTATACAGCTAATATACCTTCAAATTTTGAGGGATGAAGATTAACAATATTTCAGAAAAATCAAGTATTTGTAAGGGAAACAGGTCAATTTAGCTCAAAGGGAATCATTTAAGATTTTAAAGGGAATTTGGACAGAATCACTGTTTTACGGCTGATCACTGAGACGGCCAGCGATTCATAACAAGAATATGATACATTTGACAAAGAATTGATTGGAAGAAACGTTTCAAGCAAGAAGATTCAAACACATACATACCCAACATGAATATAATCCTATAAACTATTCAATAGTTATTCAAAATACATACACAATAAATGATTAAGACATGATGGTTAAACGTGTGGGTTACATACATAATATGGAGTTATGCATAGAAATTATTAGTTGCTCACAAGTCCTTTTAGTTCATTTTGGTGCATGGAAAGGCAGTTTCTGTGCCATTCTGTGAATGTATGTGAATGTATGAAGACCTGAGATTAAGAGGTCTGTAAGGAATCTCTGAAAGTCTGTTCTTTGTTAGAGTTGGGGGAAGTCAATCTACAGGGCTCCTGACTGTGTTTACTATCACATGAGGGTCATGCTGTCATCTCTTTGACCATTTAATCTTGATTACTTGCCCTAAAATTGACAATCTCCTTCCTGAGTTGTTATGATCAGTGTGTTCCTTTTGTGTTAATGTTGAAAGCTGTTCTGTGAAAGAGTTGGTTAGGCTTGCTTCAGACTGGCTAGTGCTAGGGTCTGATTTATGAACATCCTGTTGTCTTGGGCCTCTGTGGAATTCGGCTCCTCATGTTTCAACCATGTTTTGACCAAATCTTAGATTGTCTGATTCGGTCTGATATCCTACATATTCATGGATTGTTCTCTAATTTTGAACTCCACTGTGTGTGTGTGTGTGTGTGTATATATTTAAACAAAAGATGTTTAGTCAACAGTACAATCCATTGGACGCACTGTATTTCTATCCCTCAGTCTTATTTTCATTCCTGTCAAACATTAATTATATCACTGGGTCTATATCAATAAAATGAAACATTTTTCCTCAGGTTAGATATTGATTATTAATAACTCCTGTTCAACATACTATGCTTTGGCACACTTATTGGTTTTGAATGAATTGGTTGAATTAATGTTTCAATGACTCACTCATAAAAATTATCACCACTTCCTGGTGTAATGTAATGTTACTGAGTCACTGAAAAAATCCCCACCACCAATGAATGGACAGATGGACAGTCTGTCAGGAACACACAGATACAGACAAGCGGAGTGATGGAAACAGTGAGAACTCTCAGTACTGGTATGTCAGCGCTCAACCAAACAATTTTGAGGACAAACTAACTGTTGTAAAATCCTAAACATTCTTGTTAATTTTACAACATAACATTTCATTACAATTTTGTTACATCCTAAAACATTTCTTATTAATTCAAGGTTTAAATTAGATTTTGAATCCAAGATTTTCATTAAATCTCACTGCACATGGTAGTGAGTTAAGAGTGTTTGTGTGTGTTCAAGATGTTCTGCTCCTCTCCCTCTGTTTCTGTTTGTACTGGCAGATACCACAGTAATTCAGCAATATTAAACAGACCACGCAGAGGAGAGAAAGACAGAAGAGATTATACAAAGCAGTATAGGTTGCTCCATGCGGGAGCTTTTTCTCTCCTTGTTTTGTCTGAGAGCAAAATTATCACTCAGCTCAGCATCAGAAAGAAACATTTTCTAGGGCAGCTTTTGCCTCTATCTATATTTCATGTGTTGTTTCTTTGGGAAGAACTCCTCTCAGTGTGACGGGGGATTTCAGACGGGTTTCTTCAAAGCAGTGTTGTGTTCAGTGTGAATGAGGACAGTGTTTTTAAAGCTGTCCATGCTGGGCAAAGAAAGTAATGAGGTGTAATTTTGTGGTTTTCACACAGAAAGCCATAATGGGAAGCTTTAATGAGCTCTCTCTCGGTACATTTAAACATGTGTGTATGGAAGAGTGATGAAAATCCTTTCCACAGGTCATTCTTCCCACTTATTTAACCTTGATCAATAAGCCTGTTATCAGTGATCAGCTATAATTTTTCACTCAGTCCTCCTGAAATAAGGACAGAAACAGACAAAAAGACATTTGTCATGTGATGTGTTGTGTATTCTCTAATTCATTCACACAAACACACACACACAAACACAGCTCCTCCGGGAAGAGCGAGCCAGCAAAATAATTTTTAGCTCTAGCAGGGCAATATCTAGCAGGTGGGAGTTTTTTTTATCAGCGGGATTATGTAAGAAGCTCATCAGTGATGCATTGCAGTTACCGCTGGTATCCTGTGCCATTTTCAAGTCTGTCGAGCAGACAGACAGTGGACTCGTACATTCTGATTATACAAACTATAATGAGACATATATAGGCCTACTGTGCCCTGTCATGCCCTGCACCAAAAACCACACGGAACACATTCACATGTCACCTGTTATGCAACAAGACACTATTTATTTTGAAGATGAGAGGGAGAAATACAAGGTAAAAGAAAGATGACTTTAATATGCTGTGATCCATTTTGTTTCCCATTCTTGCTCTCTCTCTTTCTCTGATATATTTCTCAGATATATTTCTCAGTGTGTTCATTTGCCGCTGATTGTGGGAGGTGCTGTTGGTCTGGATATCTGTCACTTCCTGATATTGCTCATCTGCTTGTCATCTATCAAGTCTGACCAATACTATAAATAGATTTGTCAAATCTCTGACATCAAACAAACACACGTGAGAAAAAACACATTCGAGAAAGGAACATTTATTTCACACCAACACACGGCTATTTGTTTCAAGCATATCTGTGGGTTAAAAATACATTTCTGTCAGTATGAAATCGAGAGTGTTATGCAGTAAGTCATAGGCTATAGATGGATCAGATTGCAGTGATTAACATTCCACTGGTCATCCCTCTCTGGAAAAGTATCAGGCACAGAAATGATGTTAATTCAATAACCATTGCACCGTAAATATTCAAACGTGACTGAAGGGCAAACTGAGATTGTTATCTAATGTATTTACCCACAAGACGGGGGATTTCACTGCTTTTAACGGCTACCCAAGGAACCTCTACAAATATATTTAAAGCTAAATTTATCAAAATAGTTACACATATGTGACATAAACATATCTTTTTATGATCTAATAATTAACTGGATTATTAGTAATTAAAACATTGCTTTTAATTTGATGATATTAAAAAGTCAAAATAATGAAACTAAAGTCTGAAGAATAATTTATGATCTAGTCAGAGATTGTATTGTGATCAGGTCACACAAAACAGATTAAGACTAAAATACACACAACAAATACTTCAGCAAATATCTTGCATGTATGACTTAGCTGAATATTTGCCTACAGCTGATTGATTGGTTTTACCATTTGGCTGAATGACTACTGTGTTGGTTATAGCACAAAATATGCATTCCTTTCCAGATAGATGCACGATATTTGATTTTAGTGGCATTTGGCATGTCACCTAGAATGTGCACTCCTAGTGAAACTGTAATACTTTTTTGGAATAAATCATTGCTGGTTTTGTTTGGCTACAATTTGACTTGGAATTGGAAAGAAGTACTAACTTAGGTTTTAGTCCATACTTTTAGGTTAAAAAGTCCATACTTTTACATGGGACCAACATCTTTAATGAGACGAAATTTCAACATTTTACAACATTGAGCTATAGAGCTGTAGTTTGATAAGTGATATATGGAAGCTCATTTCTGCCACAGAATAAAGAAATAAAAAAGGTAATTGTGACTTTATCTCACAATTCTGAGTTTATAATAGAATTGCAAGAAAAAAAAGATCAGAAGTGCAAAATGTTAACTTATAATTGCAAGTTTTTATCAGAGCGAGAGAATTGCGAGATATAAAGAATTGTGAGATGAAAATTTGGAATTACAAGAAAAAAATTCAGAATTCAGAAGTTAATGTCTCGCAATTGTTTTCTCTCACAAGCATTATATCTCATTATATCTCACAATTCTGTGTCTATACTTGAAGAGTTCAGATGCAAAAGCCTCTAAGAAACTGTAATACTTTTTTGGAATAAATCATTGCTGGTTTTGTTTGGCTACAATTTGACTTGGAATTGGAAAGAAGTACTAACTTAGGTTTTAGTCCATACTTTTAGGTTAAAAAGTCCATACTTTTACATGGGACCAACATCTTTAATGAGACGAAATTTCAACATTTTACAACATTGAGCTATAGAGCTGTAGTTTGATAAGTGATATATGGAAGCTCATTTCTGCCACAGAATAAAGAAATAAAAAAGGTAATTGTGACTTTATCTCACAATTCTGAGTTTATAATAGAATTGCAAGAAAAAAAAGATCAGAAGTGCAAAATGTTAACTTATAATTGCAAGTTTTTATCAGAGCGAGAGAATTGCGAGATATAAAGAATTGTGAGATGAAAATTTGGAATTACAAGAAAAAAATTCAGAATTCAGAAGTTAATGTCTCGCAATTGTTTTCTCTCACAAGCATTATATCTCATTATATCTCACAATTCTGTGTCTATACTTGAAGAGTTCAGATGCAAAAGCCTCTAAGTACGTCTGACGTTTTTCTTTAAAATTAGCATTTCTTTCTGGCTATTAATAGGTTTCTATGTAAGTACTGGTACTTCTGAATGGGTTGAGGCTGCGATTTAGCACATTTGAAGTGAAAGTACTTGATAAACATATACTGTGTATGGAGAACATTCACTCAGTATCGTTATCTCATTTTTGACCAAGTTGTTTTTTTATAGGCTTTTGCATTGGAACTTTTCAGTCTTTTTATTCACAATTCAGATTTCGATTTCTCAAAGTTATGAGAAGAAAAAAAATCAGAATAGCAAGAAACAAAGTCTGAACTGTGAGATAAAATTTGCAAATACCTTTATTTTTTTTTTTTAACAGGCTTTCAAAGGTCTCCAAACTGAGTAATTTTCATTCCAGTTAGCGAGTTAAATTTTTAAAAAATGTCCCAAAGTACAATAATGGTAGAAAGCATCCTCCTCCATTACACTCAAGTGTATAATGATGATAAAGTAACTGCCCATAGTAACTTTCCTGGAGCCAGGCAGTACCTATTGTGATCCGTCATCCTGCTAATACACATATATAGTATACATATCCTGTTGTTTATATATATTTGCATTTAGTGGTAGATTTACATTTTTTTCTGTATACATGCATCTTGAGAAGAGTAAAGCTGCCCTATTGAGACCCTGTATATTTATTTAGTGTGTTACTGCTGTGAAGGTACTAGCCACAATCTACAGTTAGTGAGCAGGGCTCCATCTTTCCAGCTGACAGTGTGACTAAGAGGATCCATAAGCCTTCATAGCAGGAAAACCAAAACTGCATGTTATTAAACTTAAAAATTAATTATTTATATTTGAATGTTTTTCGAACTCTGTAAGTTGTGTTCCCAACCACAATAGACTGACAGAAAAACTCTGCCTGCGGATCATATAAGGGCTTCATCTGACAAAGATTGTTTAACCCTAATATTTGCTGTGAGTGTTCGTTTATGATGAGTTACAGTATGAGGGACATCTGTTCTGCCAAACCTGGTTAGATACAGTAGTTTAACCTTTCTCCTGATCTGATCCAGCCAGGCTTTACACTCTGCAGTGTATCAGATATGAGCCATTTGCCTCTCTCTCCCATCAGTCACTATGATATTGACTGAGTGGGCTGTTCAGTCATATTTTATATCTGACTAGTGTTAGGAGATGAGGATGGCTCCAAGTCAGACCAGTGTAAAATAGCATTGAGTAATTTGAAGACACATTAACAACATTAACACCAAAGGTAAATGCAGCACTGCTTACACTATTGTGTAACAATATATTAGTACTGTATGTGACTGTCTCCAGCAGCTTTTACCTTCAGAGAAAATAGTCTTATAATACATAACGATAACAACTTTTGTTCACTCATTAATCTACTTAAATATTTATTATATTGGAGTATTGCATATTTTTTACATAGGAATAGAGTACTATCATAAAACTCCAACCACATGTTTAACCAATCATTGCGTGTAGGTGGTGTTTTGTAGAATATTAACCTGTATTCTTAGGTGTAAAGTGGATGCCACATTGCAATTTGCTTGCGTGGATTATCTAGCATCTGTTTCCAGTGCTGCAGGCCGGTGTCGGAGGTGTGGAGCCCCAGCATGCAGCGGCCCAGAGGGAGCAGGGTGCCGGGACTGACCAGGTTCAGTACCTCCAACTCCACGCTGGATTTAGCCAATAGCTCACTGGGCAGCTCCAACATCATCATCTCATTCCATACCGGATTCATCTTGTGCTTCACTCGCCGTGTCTGCTTCTTTTTCAGCTTGGCATTTTGGTGTTTCAAGGTCAGCTTTACCGATAAATCTATCGGAAAACATACAGGATACAGTGTTCTCTTTATTACACCTATTGACATTAATATTGTATGTATCATATTTATTTATTTAGAACCAGTGTTTTGGAAAGTGGGTGGATGGATAAAAACATTATAAAGACATTTGAATGTTTTTTTTTAAAGTTATTCCTCATGCTTACCCAGGCTGCATTTACAGTAATATTGTGAAATATTATTTCAGTTTTAAAAGAACTGCTTTCTATTTGAATATATAATTTATTCCTGTGATCTTCCAGTCTTCAATGGAACAAGTTACATTTTAAAATATATTCAAATAGAAAACCATTCTTTTAAATTGTACTTCACAATGTTAAAGTTTTTATTGCTTTCATTGTATCAAATAAATGCAGCCTGGGTGAGCATAAGAGACTTCTTAAAAAAAAAAAAAAAA